GGGGGGGGATTACAAAACAGCCACAGAATATCATCTATAAAGCAAACACTTAATATTGCACTTGGTTTTGCTAACATTTTGGATTTTACTTTTCCTAATTGAAAAATCAGGAATATATCTTGAATACTGGAATACAACTGTGAACTTCACATCTTAAGTCAGGAATTGACCAATATTCAATAAAGTATAAAGTAATGCCTCTAAATAAGAGAGTAAAGAAATACTTTCATGGAGAAAATAAAACTTTATTTGATAAAGTTTTATAAATCTTATCTTTTACCACATTTTGTTCTGTGATCCAGTGCCAATTATTAGAATATTGGTCATTCTTGCTTATGTGCTATAAGGATATATGGTAATAAGTATTCCAATGCTATGCATATTTCAACAATTGTTCCCTAATCAGTTAGACATAAGAGAGAAACGAAAAGGGATTTTCTGACAATCCCCCCCTAACAAAAATAAAACCACCAAATGCCCTTTACGCCAAATATTCCATTCGCTTCTTTTGAGGGGGACATTCACAAAATGATTAACAGTAATAAAAAAATATTTCACCCCTATTTCCTTATTATCTAGTATTAGTTTGCTTACGGGAGCCCAAACCCTTTAATAACTGAATCACTTAAAACGCGATTCATTTTTACACTGGGCTTTCTTCACCCTGTCAGCAGTTTTCAAACATGAATTGTCTTCCATGTTTTCTTAAAGGCCACTTATGGAAAAGCCTATTTGTTTTGTATGAAGCTTTAAGACAGTATTTAACCAGGTCAAGCACCAAGCTAGAGTTACTATTATTTTCAGCCACTTTATTAACTGTGGGATTAAATGGCAGGATAGATGGAACACCTATTTCACACACATGTTGCAACATCAGAGATGCTGATTTTCATTAAAAATGTCAAAGCTGAATTCCATCTAAAATAAAATAAAGAGTACACTTGGTACCTTGGAAAATGCAGTTTGAAATGTCATTACGAATGCTGGTATATTTATGAGCCAACTGTAAGTTCTCTTTAATATAAAATATTATTTACTTATGTGATCACTCTTATGATACAGAGCTACTGGTAGTTTGGAATCAACCTCAGTTAGCAGTTGAATGCTTTAACCACAGCATAATCAGGGACTCTCCCCAAATAAACATTGTGTC